ACACACACAGTGTCCGCTGAATACACACACACACAGTGTCCGCTGAATACACACACACACAGTGTCCGCTGAATACACACACACACACACACAGTGTCCGCTGAATACACACACACAGTGTCCGCTGAATACACACACACACACACAGTGTCCGCTGAATACACACACACAGTGTCCATGAATACACACACACACACACACAGTGTCCGCTGAACACACACACACACAGTGTCCCTGAATACACACACACACACAGTGTCATTGAATACACACACACACAGTGTCCGCTGAATACACACACACACAGTGTCCGTTGAATACACACACACACACAGTGTCCGCTGAATACACACACACACAGTGTCCTGAATACACACACACACAGTGTCCTGAATAATAATAACACAGTGTCCGCTGAACACACACACACAGTGTCCGGCCAACCAACACACACAGTGTCCATGAATACACACACACAGTGTCCGCTGAATACACACACACACACAGCAACCGGCTGAATACACACACACACACACAGTGTCCGGCCGAATACACACACAGTCCGAACACACACACACACACAGTCCGCCGAATACACACACACACAAACCGAATACACACACACACACACACACACAGTGTCCGCTGACACACACAGTGTCCGCTGAACACACACACACACAGTGTCCCATGAATAACACACAGTGTCCCATTGAACACAACACATGCGTCCGCTGAACACACATACACAGTGTCCGCTGAATACACACACACAGTGTCCCGCTGACACACACACACAGTGTCCGCTGAACACAGTGTCCGGCTGAACACACACACAGTGTCCGCTGAACATATACACACACACACACAGTGTCCCACTGAACACACACACACACAGTGTCCGCTGAACACACACACACACAGTCCACCGACACACAGTCCGCCTAATACACACACAGTCCGCCTGAATACACACACACAGTCCGTCAATACACACACACAGTCCAAGTCGAATACACACACACCCGTCGACACACACACACAGTCTGCCCCACACACACAGTCTGACACACACACACACAGACTGCCGAGTACACACACACACAGTCTGCCGAGTACACACACACAGTCTGCCGAGTACACACACACAGTCTGCCGAGTACACACACAGACTGCCGAGTACACACACAGACTGCCGAGTACACACACAGACTGCCGAGTACACACACACACAGTCTGCCGAGTACACACACAGACTGCTGAATACACCCACAAAGACTGCTGAGTACATACACTGCTGAGTACACACAGTCTGCTGAATACACACACACACACAGACTGCTAAATACACACACATACTGCATTGAAGGGTGCAGTGAATGTCTTTGTGTGTCTGAGGGGTGTTGTGTGTGTAAGGGGTAGGGGTGCTATGGGGGTAGGGGTGCTGGGCTGTGTGTGGGGGTAGGGGTGCTGGGCTGTGTGTGGGGGTAAGGGTGCTGGGCTGTGTGTGGGGGTAAGGGTGCTGGGCTGGGTGTGGGGGTAGGGATAAAAAATACATAAAAAAAAAAAAAAAAAGATATATTAATTCTGTATCCTCCCCCTCCCTTTCTCTTACCTTTAAGAGTGGTGGTAAGTATGTTTCTGGCAGCTAGGAAGCAGTGTGGAGCGTTGCCATGGTAACTCGCGGCAACGCTCCACACAGCATCGCGCGGGAGGACAGGAGAGCTGCTTCCTAGAGCCCTCCCCCTGTCCTCGCAACACGTAAGCAGAGTAGGCAGACAGCCAGCGTCCCCCTCTCACGGCGACCTATGGCCGCGTGCCAACAGAGAGGGCCCGGCTTGGCACGCGTGCCATAAGTTCGCCATTACTGCTCTAGACTGTAAGATTGTTTGAGCAGGGCACTCATCTACCTATAGTTCCTGTAACAAGTTATCATCTCATTTGTTAAATTCTCCTTTTAATGTAAAGCGGTGCGGAATAAGCTAGCGCTATATAAATACCAATAATAATAATAATAACATGGCCAGAGAATAAAGTGTCGGATTGCGGTGTCCTGATGTCACTAACTGGGGGAGCTCTGTGTGCTCTGCATACCTTCATAATGCTAGAACCGAAATCAATATATTATTACAGTAAGCTTTGTTCTTTCTCTCTCCTTCTATTCAGAGTACCCCATGCTGCAACCTTGATTGGTGCTGTGTAAACATAATAATGCAGGTCAGACTACACACCCTGTATTCAGGAACAACCAGCAGCTCTAACACACATGGAAAATAACCTTGGAGTGCACTGCCCAGCAGGGAGACCGGTCATTGTGCTCTGTAAGAAATTATGCTTTAAAGCTGCAGGACCCATAAAATTAGACCACTGGAGACATCTAAAGAACTTGTATGGAATCAATGATATCACAGAGCGAGTGGCTCACCTTGGCTGCCTCTGCTTGGAGCTGGAACATGGAGTTCTGATGGTCCAGAGAGAAGGCCAGGGCTGTCACTGGAAGAGTCTGTCTGTCCAGCTGGAGAAGAGGCAATTTCAGCTAAAACTTCTAGATCCTTCAGTATGACCTACGTGAGGAGAAGCAGCAGAGAGTCACTACAGGTTGGCAGGGAGCAGCAAAGGCCATATATTTAGAGAGGAGCACCAAAAATACCAATGCTCATTGTACAGCATATAAAGAACAGTCCTGGTCTCCCTGCACACAGTATATAACTGCAGCTATAAGGTTATGGTGTAAGGAGGTCCCCTGTCTCCCCGCACACAGTGAAATTATAGATCAGGGTGGTGCAGTAGACATTGCTTACCTAGATTTCAGTAAGGCTTTTGACACTGTTGCACATAGAAGGCTTATTAATAAACTGCAATCTTTAAGTTTGGATTCCAATATTGTTGAATGGGTTAGGCAGTGGCCGAGTGACCGGCAACAAAGAGTTGTAGTTAATGGAGTATATTCGAAGCTTGGGCTTGTCACCAGTGGGGTACCTCAGGGATCTGTACTTGGACCCATTCTCTTTAAAAAAAATTATTAGTGATATTGCAGAAGGTCTTGATGGTATTGTATGTCTTTTGCTGATGATACTAAGATATGTAACAGGGTTAATGTTCCAGGAGGGATAAGCCAAATGGCAAATGATTTAGGTAAACTAGAAAAATGGTCAGAATTGTGGCAACTGACATTTAATGTGGATAAGTGCAAGATAATAAAAACCCAAGGGCAGAGTACAGATTTGATAGAGTCCCAACCTCAACATCTGAGGAAAGGGATTTAGGGATGATTATTTCTGATGACTTAAAGGTAGGCAGACAATGTAATAGAGCAGCAGGAAATGCTAGCAGAATGCTTGGTTGTATAGGGAGAGGTATTCGCAGTAGAAAGAGTGAAGTGCTCATGCCATTGTACAGAACACTGGTGAGACCTCACTTGGAGTATTGTACACAGTACTGGAGACCGTATCTTCAGAAGGATATTGATACTTTAGAGAGATTTTAGAGAAGGGCTACTAAACTGGTTCATGGATTGCAGGATAAAACGTACAAGGAAAGGTTAAAGGATCTTAACATGGAGGAAAGACGAGACAGGAGGGATATGCACACAGTCTATTCTAACTGCAGCTATAAGGTTATGGTGTAAGGAGTTCCTGTCTCCCCACACAGTGTATTATAACTGCAGCTTAAAGGTTATGGTGTAAGGAGGTCTTTGCACACAGTGTATTATAACTGCAGCTATGATGTTATGGTGTAAGGAGGTCCCCTGTCTCCCACACACACAGTGTATTATAACTGCAGCTATAAGGTTATGGTGTAAGGAAGTCCCCTGTCTCCCTGCTCACAGTGTATTATAACTGCAGCTATAAGGTTATGGTGTAAGGAGGTCCCCTGTCTCCCTGCTCACAGTGTATTATAACTGCAGCTATAAGGTTATGGTGTAAGGAGGTCCACTGTCTCCCCACACAGTGTATTCTAACTGCAGCTATAAGGTTATGGTGTAAGGAGGCCCCCTGTATCCCCACACACAGTGTATTATAACTGTAGCTATAAGGCTATGGTGTAAGGAGGTCCCCTGTCTCCCCACACAGTGTATTCTAACTGCAGCTATAAGGTTATGGTGTAAGGAGGCCCCCTGTATCCCCACACACAGTGTATTATAACTGTAGCTATAAGGCTATGGTGTAAGGAGGTCCCCTGTCTCCCCACACAGTGTATTCTAACTGCAGCTATAAGGTTATGGTGTAAGGAGGCCCCCTGTATCCCCACACACAGTGTATTATAACTGTAGCTATAAGGCTATGGTGTAAGGAGGTCCCCTGTCTCCCCACACAGTGTATTCTAACTGCAGCTATAAGGTTATGGTGTAAGGAGGCCCCCTGTATCCCCACACACAGTGTATTATAACTGTAGCTATAAGGTTATGGTGTAAGGAGGTCTCCTGTCTCCCTGCACATAGTGTATTATAACTGCAGCTATAAGGTTATGGTGTAAGGAGGTCCCATGTCTCCATACACAGTGTATTATAACGGCAGCTATATTAGCAGGTTACAAAAAGTCCAGATCTCAACACTAACATCAGGGGCATCCGGGCGGGGACGGAGGAACACAAAATAGCGGCGTTCGCCGATGATGTGCTTTTCACATTGGCAGACCCAGTGGCCTCAATACCCCACCTGATGTCAGAAATGGCTACCTATAGTACACTCTCCAATTGTAAAGCGAACATTAGCAAATGCGAGATCCTCCCGATACATATTAAATCACAAGAGAAGGATGTTCTGTGCAGAGATCATCAATTTACATGGGCAACACACAGTATCAAATATTTGGGAATCCACATCACCAGGAACCTCTCCCAACTATTCGAGAGCAACTTTCCTGACTTAACAAAGGCCGTAACACATGACCTCACCACATGGAACAAGCCACACTTTGGGTGGTTTTGTAGGATGAACATCCTCAAGATGAACATCCTACCCAGGATACTATACATGCTACAAGTGCTCCCTATAACTATTCCTAAGTCCTGGTTCACTACGGTTCGTAAAACACTCACCACATGTATTTAGGCTAACAAACCTCCACGAATATCATACTCATTACTCACAAAACCAAAGGACAGAGGCGGCCTGGGTCTGCCAGATGTTGAAACATACCATAACGCAATACTGCTAACCAGAATATATGACTGGACACTTCCACAATCCAGGAAACAATGGGTGAACTTAGAGGACACCTTTTTCAGAGTACCTATCTACACGATACCCTGGCACAAATCAGGACAGGTACTAATGCTCCACAACCCACAATTACACCGACTCTCCGCATGTGGGCAACCCTACGCATGCACGAACTAATGTCACCTTACCCATCGCCACTATACCCGCTCACACACAACCCCTTATTCCAGCCAGGAGTAGATGGCAAATCTTTCCAGTCCTTCCATAAGACGCCATATCTTACATTAGGGGATACCATGACAACCGTTGGGTCGAGAGCAATAAAACCTATACAGGCATTCATAGCCAATCCCACGGCTATGCAAAAATACCAATATAGGCAACTAACACACTTTATTCAATCAAAACCCCTAACACACAATGCCAGCCGAGAACAGACTAATTTCGAAAAATGCTGTTCCCTCCAATCCATAAAAACAAAAACAATGTACTCCCAGGTCCTCTCCACGAGACCACAACAATTGCCGGCCTTCACCACCACTTGGGAAAATGAGTTAAACTTAGCAATACAGCCTGACAAATGGAAAAAAATCTTTAAACAAATCCATAAATCCTCAAAAAACACAACAACGCAGGAAAGCAACTATAAAAGAATAGTGAGGTGGCACTACACCCCCTCGAAACTACACTCCCTATTCCCTGCAACCTCCAAACAATGTTGGCGCTGCCAATCAGCCGTGGGCACCACCTCGCATATTTGGTGGACATGCCCAGTGATACAAAAATTCTGGACACGCATAGCGGGCCTGATCCACACCATACTTAAGATAACCGTTCCCCTAGACCCAGATACATACATATTCCTTCTAACCCCACACGGCTTACCGAAACATACGGCTGCCCTGCTCCTACACCTTATAACAGCTGCGAACCAGCTTATCCCAGCCTTATGGAAACAACCAAACCCCCCCGACCATTCGCGAATGGCTACAAAAAGTAGAAAATACCAGAAGTCTAGAAGAAACATGTTATGCCCTTTCAAATCAATACCAACAATACACAGAGATCTGGTACCCATGGACCCAATACCTCCGACAGACCACTTGGAGACACCCCCCCCCCCCACCTGGGAAAAAATAAAGATTATCACTATGGGAATATGAGCCAGCTCATAAAAACGTAGGGATGTAGGAAAATGTAACAGAACTCCAATACTATTATCTCTACATGTTCAACGCAAAGATACACCCTCATGTATGAATCCGTACTGTTGATTACTTAACTAATGTAACACCAATGTCTTGTACCATGTACTTTCTTATACCTGTCAAACTTATATGACGAAAATGTTGTACAATATACTGACCTTCAAAAAAAAAAAAAAAAATCCAGATCTGGTCAAATATACAATTTGTATTAATTCAGTCAGGACCAACAGTAATACATAGGACTAGCATTCATTTTTCATTCAGGGTTAAAAAGACAGTGCTGGTTCCCTTGCCCGTGACATATTGTTGGTGTATAGTCTGCATTTTTAAGGCTGGTTAAGTCATAGCAGTCCCCAGGTAGAGCACGCACACATTGCTCCACAACACCACGTCTGATGCAATAAAGCTTGCAAATGGGTAGAGATAAAATGCATGCTAGGCACTTACTGCTTCATGTTAAACAGTACTGTCATATACACACACAACACAAGGCCTTCATTTTCAGCCTAGCCCAGTACCTCCGCTTTATTTAATGTCATGTGCTGGGGGCCCCACATTTTTAATATACACCACCTTCTTATCCTGCAAAGAACAGGGATTTGGCCCCTCATTAACTCTCCTCCTGTTGGAATGTCAATCACGCTGAGCAGCAAGCCATTATTAACCTTTAGCACGCTGCAGCTGGTCAGTGAGCCAATAACATAAAATTCCTCCCTACTGGAAGGTTCTGTGGCAGAAAGATTTAACCATTTTGTTCCAGAGCCTGCAATATCATTAGACATTGCATTATTTAACCCAGTGGCAGGAAAATAGCCTTCCTTTCACATCTCCCTAACAATCAGCCAGCCCCTAGGAGGAAGGGATATTGGGATCTCCCAGTTTGCAAAGACTGAAGAATAGCAGCACATTAGCATGCAAAAGGCACAGTCCCAAACACTAGATTGCTCTGCAGCGGAGTCCTGGCCTTCCCAGTTACTATGGAAACAAGCACTGCAATCCCGCAGTTCGGGCATAGATCTGCTGGCAACATGTGGCTCAGATTTATTAACACTTTCAATGCTTACTGCAATCCTCGCCATTCTCCAGAATCCCAGAGATTAGTACAGTCACAGGTGATCCCAATGTCATTGTCTTACTAGATTGGCATCATGTGCCCTTAAAACATATTTCCTTCTGCTCTCCGTATTAAGTGGCAGGTTTATACATGTCGGTCTCTGAAACGTGGTGATTAACCAGGGGTCCACATTGTTATTTTCAAAAACCTCTGACACAAATTTAATATTTCCTTCCATTATAATCATGGGCAGTAGTTCTCGGTAAAAATCACAGATATTCTCAGATCACATTGTAAATGCCTTGAAGGGGTCATAGTGGCCCCACTGGACTATGAATGGGGTTACATACCCTGCTCTGCAGTGTCTCCATTACAGACAAGCAGCTGCTGTTGGAAACATAGAAACATAGAATGTGACGGCAGATAAGAACCATTCGGCCCATCTAGTCTGCCCAATTTTCTAAATACTTTCATTAGTCCCTAGTCTTATCTTATAGTTAGGATAGCCTTATGCCTATCCCACGCATGCTTAAACTCCTTTACTGTGTTAACCTCTACCACTTCAGCTGGAAGGCTATTCCATGCATCCACTACCCTCTCAGTAAAGTAATACTTCCTGATATTATTTTTAAACCTTTGTCCCTCTAATTTAAGACTATGTCCTCTTGTTGTGGTAGTTTTTCTTCTTTTAAATATAGTCTCCTCCTTTACTGTGTTGATTCCCTTTATATATTTAAATGTTTCTATCATATCCCCCCTGTCTCGTCTTTCCTCCAAGCTATACATGTTAAGATCCTTTAACCTTTCCTGGTAAGTTTTATCCCGCAATCCATGAACCAGTTTAGTAGCCCTTCTCTGAACCCTCTCTAAGGTATCAATATCCTTCTGAAGATACGGTCTCCAGTACTGTGTACAATACTCCAAGTGAGGTCTCACCAGTGTTCTGTACAATGGCATGAGCACTTCCCTCTTTCTACTGCTAATACCTCTCCCTATACAACCAAGCATTCTGCTAGCATTTCCTGCTGCTCTATTACATTGTCTGCCTACCTTTAAGTCATCAGAAATAATCACCCCTAAATCCCTTTCCTCATATGTTGAGGTTAGAACTCTATCAAATATTCTGTACTCTGCCCTTGGGTTTTTACGTCCAAGATGCATTATCTTGCACTTATCCACATTAAATGTCAGTTGCCACAATTCTGACCATTTTTCTAGTTTACCTAAATCATTTGTCATTTGGCTTATCCCTCCTGGAACATCAACCCTGTTACATATCTTAGTATCATCAGCTAAAAGACATACATCTTTATGCAGTACAAACAATTAAAACGCTACAAGTAGTTAACATTTTTCTTGTATTTTTAATAAAATCTATTCTCACATGGTGTTGATGCAAAGTAAGATGAATAGTAGTTTCTTGCTCAGCGTGATATTAGACTGCATTATACATATATAAAAACATAACTACATAGTGCAACATTACCAAGTAAAAGCATCTAAATGCTATAAGATGCAATATTACAGAGTAAGAGGAGCCGATTCCCACACTGAGCAATGTTACACAGAGAGAGAGAGAACCCGATTCCCACACTGAGCAATGTTACACAGAGAGAGAGAGAACCCGATTCCCACACTGAGCAATGTTACACACAGAGAGAGAGAACCCGATTCCCACACTGAGCAATGTTACACAGAGAGAGAACCCGATTCCCACACTGAGCAATGTTACACAGAGAGAGAACCCGATTCCCACACTGAGCAATGTTACACACAGAGAGAGAACCCGATTCCCACACTGAGCAATGTTACACAGAGAGAGAGAACCCGATTCCCACACTGAGCAATGTTACACAGAGAGAGAACCCGATTCCCACACTGAGCAATGTTACACAGAGAGAGAGAGAACCCGATTCCCACACTGAGCAATGTTACACAGAGAGAGAGAACCCGATTCCCACACTGAGCAATGTTACACACAGAGAGAGAACCCGATTCCCATACTGAGCAATGTTACACAGAGAGAGAACCCGATTCCCACACTGAGCAATGTTACACAGAGAGAGAGAGAACCCGATTCCCACACTGAGCAATGTTAACACAGAAGAGAGAGAACCCGATTCCCACACTGAGCAATGTTACACAGAGAGAGAGAGAGAACCCGATTCCCACACTGAGCAATGTTACACAGAGAGAGAGAGAACCCGATTCCCACACTGAGCAATGTTACACAGAGAGAATTGATTCTCATTAAGAGCAATGAAAGAGAGAGAACCCGATTCCCACACTGAGCAATGTTACACAGAGAGAGAGAACCCGATTCCCACACTGAGCAATGTTACACACAGAGAGAGAACCCGATTCCCATACTGAGCAATGTTACACAGAGAGAGAACCCGATTCCCACACTGAGCAATGTTACACAGAGAGAGAGAGAGAACCCGATTCCCACACTGAGCATTGTTACACAGAGAGAGAGAGAACCCGATTCCCACACTGAGCAATGTACACAGAGAGATAACCCGATTCCTACACTGAGCAATGTTACACAGAGAGAGAGAGAACCCGATTCCCATACTGAGCAATGTTACACAGAGAGAGAGAGAACCCGATTCCCACACTGAGCAATGTTACACACAGAGAGAGAGAGAACCCGATTCCCACACTGAGCAATGTTACACAGAGAGAGAGAACCCGATTCCCACACTGAGCAATGTTACACACAGAGAGAGAACCCGATTCCCATACTGAGCAATGTTACACAGAGAGAGAACCCGATTCCCACACTGAGCAATGTTACACAGAGAGAGAGAGAGAACCCGATTCCCACACTGAGCATTGTTACACAGAGAGAGAGAGAACCCGATTCCCACACTGAGCAATGTTACAGAGAGAGAGAACCGATTCCCACACTGAGCAATGTTACACAGAGAGAGAACCCGATTCCACACTGAGCAATGTTACACAGAGAGAGAACCCGATTCCCACACTGAGCAATGTTACACACAGAGAACCGATTCCCACACTGAGCAATGTTACACAGAGAGAGAGAGAACCCGATTCCCACACTGAGCAATGTTACACAGAGAGAGAGAGAACCCGATTCCCACACTGAGCAATGTTACACAGAGAGAGAGAGAACCCGATTCCCACACTGAGCAATGTTACACAGAGAGAGAGAGAGAGAACCCGATTCCCACACTGAGCAATGTTACACAGAGAGAGAAAGAGAACCCGATTCCCACACTGAGCAATGTTACACAGAGAGAGAGAACCCGATTCCCACACTGAGCAATGTTACACAGAGAGAGAACCCGATTCCCACACTGAGCAATGTTACAGAGAGAGAGAACCCGATTCCTACACTGAGCAATGTTACACACAGAGAGAGAGAGAACCCGATTCCCCCACTGAGCAATGTTACAGAGAGAGAGAGAACCCGATTCTCATACTGAGCAATGTTAAACAGAAAGAGAGAACCCGATTCCCACACTGAGCAATGTTACACAGAGAGAGAACCCGATTCCCACACTGAGCAATGTTAAACAGAAAGAGAGAGAACCCGATTCCCACACTGAGCAATGTTACACAGAGAGAGAGAACCCGATTCCCACACTGAGCAATGTTACACAGAGAGAGAACCCGATTCCCACACTGAGCAATGTTAAACAGAAAGAGAGAGAACCCGATTCCCACACTGAGCAATGTTACACAGAGAGAGAACCCGATTCCCATACTGAGCAATGTTAAACAGAAAGAGAGAGAACCCGATTCCCACACTGAGCAATGTTACACAGAGAGAGAACCCGATTCCCACACTGAGCAATGTTACACACAGAGAGAGAGAACCCGATTCCCACACTGAGCAATGTTACACAGAGAGAGAACCCGATTCCCACACTGAGCAATGTTACACAGAGAGAGAACCCGATTCCCACACTAAGCAATGTTACACACAGAAAGAGAGAACCCGATTCCCACAGTGAGCAATGTTACACAGAGAGAGAGAACCCGATTCCCACACTGAGCAATGTTACACAGAGAGAGAACCCGATTCCCACACTGAGCAATGTTACACAGAGAGAGAGAGAACCCGATTCCCATACTGAGCAATGTTACACAGAGAGAGAGAGAACCCGATTCCCACACTGAGCAATGTTACACAGAGAGAGAGAGAACCCGATTCCCACACTGAGCAATGTTACACAGAGAGAGAGAGAACCCGATTCCCACACTGAGCAATGTTACACAGAGAGAGAGAGAGAGAACCCGATTCCCACACTGAGCAATGTTACACAGAGAGAGAAAGAGAACCCGATTCCCACACTGAGCAATGTTACACAGAGAGAGAGAACCCGATTCCCACACTGAGCAATGTTACACAGAGAGAGAACCCGATTCCCACACTGAGCAATGTTACAGAGAGAGAGAACCCGATTCCTACACTGAGCAATGTTACACACAGAGAGAGAGAGAACCCGATTCCCCCACTGAGCAATGTTACAGAGAGAGAGAGAACCCGATTCTCATACTGAGCAATGTTAAACAGAAAGAGAGAACCCGATTCCCACACTGAGCAATGTTACACAGAGAGAGAACCCGATTCCCACACTGAGCAATGTTAAACAGAAAGAGAGAGAACCCGATTCCCACACTGAGCAATGTTACACAGAGAGAGAGAACCCGATTCCCACACTGAGCAATGTTACACAGAGAGAGAACCCGATTCCCACACTGAGCAATGTTAAACAGAAAGAGAGAGAACCCGATTCCCACACTGAGCAATGTTACACAGAGAGAGAACCCGATTCCCATACTGAGCAATGTTAAACAGAAAGAGAGAGAACCCGATTCCCACACTGAGCAATGTTACACAGAGAGAGAACCCGATTCCCACACTGAGCAATGTTACACACAGAGAGAGAGAACCCGATTCCCACACTGAGCAATGTTGCGAGAGGAAGAACCAGTTTACACTGAGCAATGTACACAGAGAGAGAACCGATTCCACACTGAAACAATGTTACAGAGAACCGATTCCTACACTGAGCAATGTTACAGAGAGAGAAGAACCGATTCCACACACTGAGCAATATTACACACAGAAAGAGAGAGAACCGATTCCACAGTGAGCAATGTACACAGAGAGAAGAGAACCGATTCCCACTGAGCAATATTTTAAGAGAGAGAGAACCGATTCCACACTGAGCAATGTTGACCGCAACTGAGTTACACAGAGAGAGAACCCGATTCCCACACTGAGCAATGTTACACAGAGAGAGAGAACCCGATTCCCACACTGTGTGTTACACAGAGAGAGAACCCGATTCCCACACTGAGCAATGTTACCCGATTCCCACACTGTGTGTTACACAGAGAGAGAACCCGATTCCCACACTGAGCAATGTTACACAGAGAGAGAGAGAGAGAGAACCCGATTCCCACACTGAGCAATGTTACACAGAGAGAGAGAGAGAACCCGATTCCCACACTGAGCAATGTTACACAGAGAGAGAACCCGATTCCCACACTGAGCAATGTTACACAGAGAGAGAGAACCCGATTCCCACACTGTGTGTTACACAGAGAGAGAACCCGATTCCCACACTGAGCAATGCTACACAGAGAGAGAGAACCCGATTCCCACACTGTGTGTTACACAGAGAGAGAACCCGATTCCCACACTGAGCAATGTTACAGCCGATTCCCACACTGAGCAATGTTACAGCGGTGGGTGGGGGCCCTAAATAAAAATTGGGGAGGGGGGGACCTAATGTCCCGGTCCCCCCCCTTATTCTTATTTAGGGCCTCCACCCAATGCTCGGGGGTGGGAGGACAATAGGTCTCCCCCATTATTTTACTTTAGGGCCTTCACCTGCCGATCGGGGGTGGGAGTACAACAGGTCCTCCCCCCCTTTTTACGTTAGGGCCCCCATCCGCCGCTCAGGGGTGGGGGAATAGGTCCCCCCTTTAGATTAAAAGCCCCCAATCGCACGTCACAAGTGGGGGCTCGGGAGGGGGGCCCCGTTTAAAAAAAAAAATGTTTTTTTAACAGTGAGCAGCCACAGGCTGTTTAATAGACATGCCCCTACTAGCTTATATAGAGCCTGGGTCACATGCTGCACTGGCCAATCACAGCCATGATGGCTTCTAAGGGCACACAAGTCAAACGCTTGTTGATTGGCTGCCCTGCAGCTTTTCAAAACGAGCCATTAAATCGCTGAACACCGAACTCTAACTGTTACTGAAATGTCCGGGCTCGGGGTCAAAAAATCGTAATGTTCAGTACGAACCTGAACTTTACAGTTTGGGTTTGCTCAACTCTAGTTTTAAACTCTCCATAAACAGCAAAAGGTCTAAATGCAAAGTTAGTGACAAGCAAGAGCAGAAAAACCCTCTTCCAAGCAGTTCCCCTGCCCTCCCTGCAATGTGTCGGAGTAGATGTTACAATATTCCTGTCATGCACATCTTGAATTTGTCATAAGAAAATACAAATGTCACTTATTTCTGAAGCTAGTGATGATAGAGCCCTGGTTCAAAGTGAACCTAATTAAAGTAACACTCCAAGGACAAGTTGTTATGGCGTTTTTACCATCCAATTTTATATAAAAAAAAACAAGACAAAAAACACTCCAATATGACAACCAAGTAGGCCAAGAATAGTACTCCACTCAAGAGAAGACCGTTAATTATTTGTGTTTTTGTAAGAATGGAAAGCTTACCTCATCAGACTCATCGGAAAGGGTCTTCAGCAATATGGGGAACAGGCTGTCGGTGTGACGGAACATCTGAAACAGAAACATGATTAGTGAGAGATGTGAATCAGTGAGCATAGATTCCCATGATGTCAGGCCTCCCTTCCAAAGAATAAGAAAGAGCCCATTTATCCACTCACCATGTTCCCTGTGAGTAACTACAGAGAAACATGAAATACACAGACATTAACAAGAAACATCCTGAGCATCCGATAATACATTCAGCAAGCAGCAAATGTCACTTATCAGTAAGAGAGAGAGACAATCACCTGTAATGTTTGTTAAACTTTTTTCCATGTCATGCTCGGATACTAAAGTATTAGTGGCATCTATGGTCAGTTTAGTTCATGCACAGACAGGGCACACTATGCACATAAGGAGAAAAACATTGTTTCAATTTTCCCCTCTGACAGACTACTGTGTTTGCTTGATTATAAGATGACAAGAAATTTGGATCTTGTTTAAAAAAAATAAAAAAATAAAAATAAAATAAAATAAAATGAAAAGGCCTGAATATAAGACTACCCTATTGGGGGAAAAAAAATAAAATTCACACACTAACACATACAGATACACAGACACACGCAGATACACAGACTCAGTCACACATAATGGCAAACATGCAGATTACAGACACAACATACATACAGACACATGCACATAGCGAGACACACCTACACACAGATACAAAGTCACACTTAATGACATATGCAGATACACTCAATGGGACTCATACAAATTCTGACACACACAGATACACAGGGGCACACATTAACACAGATACATAGACAAACAGACACACATACAGGCAAAAGGTACACATTTTAAGCCACCCTCCTGTTTCCTACCTTTTGGCTTCCCTGTGATCTAGACGGCTGGCTCAGACTGTTAAAAGTCAGATC